CTCTCTCTCTCTCTCTCTCTCTCTCTCTCTCTCTCTCTCTCTCTCTCTCTCCCCGCTTGTCCGGCGTGGCATGGCCTATTCGCGCCCTTGGCCGGACAAAGACGCGCTTGACACAGGGCTATTAACCCGGTGCCAGCCCTCGGCCGCGCTCAGAGCTCAGAGCTCAGAGCTAGAGCTGCCGCCGCCGCCGCTGCAGCCGCTGCAGCTGATCGGATCCGAACGAGACGCCTTGGGGCTCTCCTCGCCTCGAGTGGCCCCCTCACCACCCCTCACCCCTCATACCCCCCTCCTCTGGGTCGGTAATGACTCCAGCACCGTGGACAAAGGAGGTGACATGCACATGGCGGGCTGTCAATAACAATTATTATCGACAGGGGTTGGGAGGAAGAGGGAGAGGGAGAGAGAGGGGGGGGGGAGGCGCCGCTCGACCAGGTCGCGGTCGCGTTAGGGTCGCGGCTCTCCTGCGCGCGCCTTACTTCGCCTGCTTTTGCCCGCGCGTTTCCATGAATGACTTGTCCCGCCGGGGCCGGGCCGGGGCCAAGGCCACCCCCACGGGCCTGCCCGGCCCGGCCCGGCCCCGCCGCGAGGAGATGTGATGTGACCCCGCATCCGAACAGGACCATTTACATAGCAAGTGCATCGGGGCGACGGGGAGCGTCGCGACGCTGACGCGACACGAGTGACACGAAGCGACGCCGCCGCCGCCGCCGACGACGCTCCCCATCGCATCGCCCTGACCCCGCAGGCTGCCGAGGGCGGCGTGGTGGCCCGCGCCCCGCGCCCGGCCCGGTCAGGTCCCCATGGTCCCCATGGTCCCCATTTGCAAAACCGTGCTGGCCGCGAGGTGCGCCGGGAGGTTTCCCAACGAGGACGTGACCAACGTGACAGTCTCGTCGGAGACATCATCACATGACGCGCCGGCCGGCCGGAGAGGTTCGGGTTCGAGTCCCGGCTACGGCTTACTCGCCTACACACACCTTAAGAATCGTCAACCCAAGCCAAAGGAAAATCATTTTGACATCAGGTAACATCACTTTTCAGTCTCAAATTAATGTCATTTAACACTTTCCGTGCGAGGGATCCACATTTCGTGGACCCAAATTTAAGTGTCCTAATAGTTCCATGCCATGACACTACTACGAACTTTTCAGCACTCTCTGATAACTTTCTTTCTTCATTTTATTGAAGTCCACACGGAAAGCGTTAATGGCCTTCACGAAATCTTTTTCGACCTCAATTGATATCACAGTAGTTGGTGGTTTTTCCTCCTCGCAGTGCGTCTTTATTCGCTCTCGTCCCGGGCGGCCGGAAGTAAGTGTGGCCGCCGTTACTCACGTGCGCGATGACGGCCACGGTGAGGCCGAAGGTGAGGGCGATCTGCACGATGGACGGGGCGTCGCCTTTGGTCCACTCGGCCGTGGTCGCGCCGGTGCCCACCACCACCAGCAGCATGGTGCCCACGAACTCGGCCAGCAGCGGCCGGAGCACGCGCCGGTCCGTCACGTCGTCCACGCCCAGCGTCGCCCATCCTGGGAAAAAAGACAAAGCGGAAAATATAAATTTCAACATCCTTTAATTGGTTAACACTGAACAGAAAACTAGATAATATCAATGGGTCGCCATTTTTTTAAGCCTCTACACCAACTGATACACCTAAGAAATGATATCCTTAAACCAAGGCAAATTCATAAAAATAAATTACAAGGAAATGTTCATCCTTCGTTTAAGGCATTTTTATTGTTTTCAAGGAAGTTTAGTTAATCTAACGACAAATTTTACTTTAATTTAAAGATATAGCCTTATGTCTTATTTTACGGAGATTTCTTTGAATTTTTAAAGATAAACATAGTGAAGGCATTTCGCCTTGTTTCAAGGATACCATTTGCTTGGGTGTAGTTGCCACCGCACGCTATATCTCATTGACTTGGACGACGTGTCAGGGGTCTTGACGAAAATGCCCAAGAAAATGTGTCGTTGATAGCGTTTCACACGTTCGGACACATGCATTTCTGCGCACGCGGTCCGCAGGACCTCGAGGGGGTCCTCGACGAGGGCCTCTGGAGGACACGCGCGCGCACTTATGCCCCTCCCACCAGGAGATGCTGATGGCCTGCTTGCCCAGCCTCCCGATCAATAACCAAAGTACTCCCGCTCAAGCCGCACCAGACACGGCAGCAAATCACTTCCTTTGTACGGGGGGAGGGGAGGGGGGGACACCACGGGCAACCGCGTCCCGGCCGCGCGGAGCGAGGTGGTGCGGGGCGTCCTGAGAGGTGGACTTTAGCTGCTGTCTGGGTCAATGCCATTGGGTCTATTGCCGGTCGGTGCGCCGGCCGCGGCGACTCGCGGGGCGGGGCGGGGCGGGGCGGGGCGGTGGCAGAGTGGGCGGACGGCACGGCGCGGCCTGGCTCGCGCCTCACGCGTACGTTTTACAAAGATGACGAT